CCCCCCCCGCCGCCCCATAAGCCAGGGAGATGCAAGCCAGTAGTGCTGCCAGCACCTGTCAGAGGTTCTAAGTCTCCCTGATACCAGGCAATGCTTTGGTTCCCAGGTGACCTGGAAGACGCTGCAGTTTTAGGAAGTTTTCCCACTGCCACTGAGAAGGGCTGTGTGTGAGTGTGAGAGTGTGTGTGTGGAAGGTCAGCAGTGGGTGCTGTCACCATTGTGAGAATGACTCTAGATTTCAGTGTGGGACTTCTATCCTTCTATCGTTTCTAAACACTATATAAGAGATTTCCATATCTTATTCCATTTCTCAATGCCCCTTCTCTCCAATGCCCAATGCTCTGTGTCCAAGCTCTGTGGTCTTCTCCGTGCTGGGGGTCAGGAATGAGAAGCAATGGGCCAGGGGGAACGGAGGCAGTGCGATCAGGAGCCCGGAGCTCGTCCTTAGAAGATGTACCAGATTCCCACAAAGGAGGAAAGGAAGGCAGTGTTGACTTCCCTTCAGTCTTTCTTCCACTGATCCAGAAAAGTTACCACTATCACTTGACTTCTCGTATCCCCTGCACCCAGACATTCCCACCCAATAAGACAGAAGAAAACCCCATCAACCTTTAAAAAAAAATCAGGAAACAATACCCATTTGCACTTGTACTTTCACACTGCCCCATTAAAGCTAACTTAATATTAAGCCCCAACAGTGTCATTTGGCATTCTTTTCTCTGGAACGTTCAAGGACCTGTTACCCAGCACAACAGTGACAACTGATAACCCTGGGCTCAGAAAGGTCTCTCTTCTGGCTTTAGTGAGTGACAAGCCAGGCGGCAACAACGACTCTCCAGACCACGAGGATTTTGAAAGGCCTCACCTCTAGAGTTTCTTCTTGGGAATTGTACCTCGGGCAAAGCTTCATGAGGCCGGAGGCTCCATCAAGCACCTCACAGAGTTCCTTCAGAAACACCCCGCAGAACGGAACCACCTTACAGCCGGGGATGTGCAGCGCCCGAGTCACCACCTTCCTGTACTCGCAGGAAGATTCATGCTGGGCCATGGCGTCCTTCAGGCTTCTCATCGTCTCCAGGTCAGACTGGTCCATAAACTGCCACATTTTTAAAACTTTTCTTGACCTATTACAAGTCAATGACATTTTTTTTTTTAGACTGAAGGAGAAATAATATAATTTACACGAAATAGCCTAAATTCCATACAAAATTCATTTCATTTCATGTTTTCTTTCTGTTTTAATATTTATTTAGGATTCCCCAAATGATGTGAATATTACTTTAATAAACAAACACAAAATTAAATAGGACAGATACATACAAAAATACATGTGGGGACTTCCCTGGTGGTGCAGTGGTTAAGAATCTGCCTGCTAATGCAGGGGACACAGGTTCAATCCCCGGTCCGGGAAGATCCCACATGCCACGGAGCAACTAAGCCTGTGTGCCACAACTACTGAGCCCACGTGCTGCAACTACTGAAGCCCACGTGCTCTAGGGCCCGCGTGCTGCATCTACTGAGGCTGCGTGCTGCAACTACTAATGCCCACGCGCCTACAAGCCCATGCTCCACAACAAGAGAAGCCACTGCAGTGAGAAGCCTGCGCACCTCAACGAAGAGTGGCCCCCGCTCGCCGCAACTAGAGGAAGCCAGCGCGCAGCAACGAAGACCCAATGCAGCCAAAAACCAAACACATACGTGTAGGAGGAGTTAATTTCGGAAGGTGGGCACTGAACTTAAGTTTGAGTTTTTCTGATTTCCCCAAAGGGAAACTTCCTGGGTAATATGGTTTCTACAGGTATTTATGGAGGACCGCCCGCAGAAAATGTGTCCCATCCACTCCTCTCGATCTTTTAAATGTTATTGGATTAGGCCAGTCCCGCAGTGATACCCACGAAGCCTGTTTTGACCTCTTCTGGTGAATTGCTTCTATTGAATCCAGCTTTGACATTAAGTAAGTCACTGGCCTGTCTTGAGGGACATTATCTTAAAGTATTATTTGCAGAATAGGATGTTAAATGAGATTTTTCCTATTTTGAAATTGCTGCTGAGAACAACAGCTGACATTGAACCCCACCTTCTAAAGAGAGGCAGTGGGTTGGTACCAGGAGACCCAAACTGCTCTGCCCTCAGAGGTCTCCCACCCTCCATCAGCAGAGGAACTAGGTCTGAGCAGCCACGTAGGGAATGCTTCTTTGGAGAGGGCTGTCAGGGCACCATACGTGAGGAGGAGGAAATCACCCAGGGGCTTCAAGAGAACTCCACGGAGAGGCTGATCCGTGTCCCGGCAGTTTGTTGGTCGGAGACTGACTGGTGTGTGATTTGCTTGGGGAAGTCTAACGATGAGAGGCTGCCTTGAGCTGCCTGATGGCAGCACGAGGGAGAAGGTTCCAGCGGGCGTGGCTCGCATTTGCAGACTCTGGGTGGGCAAAGCGCTGGGTGTTTCTGTGAGTCAGGAATGGACTCTGAGAGTCAGTGGGGTCTGAGTTATCCTGAACGGCCTGCCGGTGAGGTGACCTTAGTGGAAAGAGTCTGTGAGGGTAGGACTTCCAGAACTAGACACTGTAGCGGGGAGGACTGAGTAGTCAGCCAGGCCAGAGGTGCACTGCCTCTTACCAGGTAACGGTGCAGGGAGGTGGCTATGGGACAGTGGGTGAAGTTAAGGCAGGTAACTAGGAAGTAACCCTGAAACCAGCCCTCGTGGCTCTCAGTGGGGGCTCCAAGGCCAGATCACCACTGCCCCAGTCAAGTAACACGGGCTCCCTTTACCCCTCCACCCTTTCTCCTCTCCTTTCCTGCCCATTTCTTCTGCAGGGACTCTGAGTTGCAGGGAGGGGGAGAGAAAAGATAAACCATATCTTCCCACACTCCCGCAGCTTTCTGAGACTGGTTGGGCTGCAAAATTGGGGAAAGAGTGGAGCTTTAAATGAGAAGTTGAAGTTTTGATTTATATCAGACTGGATTAAAAGATCATTATGTCATATCTAAGATATCCAAAAGACATAAAGAAGCACAACATGACAAACACCCACACATCAAGCTCTCAGTTTAAAAAAATAAAGCATTAATAATATGATTGAGGCCCCAGTGGATTCCTCCGCGAGCATATCCTCCTCCCTGTCTCACCACAGGGCGCCACAACTGCGACTTTAGCGCTCTCCTTGCCTTATAATTCCTGATACTTTCCCAACACAGGCAGACATCGCTAAGCAGTTTGTAGAACTGTTTGTGCATTTTTAAACTTCATACAAATGGTGTCACGCTGTAGGTAGCTCTCAGGCAACCTGCTTTTGTGGCATTGCCGTACGATTCTCAGGTTCATTCATGCTCATGGGCGTAGGTGAATGAGACTGCTTATTAACCACAGAAGTGACGGGGAAAGACACAGCGTCCCCAGAGACACGGCCCGGAGTTGGGGGAAGGAGAGCCAATTGGCAGGTTTGAAAGACAGTGAGGTCAGAAAAATAAAACTGTCTCCTGATTTCACCCCACTAAGTTCAGCCTGTCCTACAACCAGCTCCTTATAAGGTGGTGAGAGTCCTTTTGGGGCCATGGAGTAGAGGTTTAAATAAATGAAGTGAATACATGAATGAGACTTGGTTCTCATTATTTAATCATCCTTCTTTCCGTGAGTAATGGAGCCGTCATAGTACTCTGGGGGGCAAAAGGCAAACCTCAGTAAAGATCAATGATTTTTTGTTAGATTGAGAATTGACACTTTTAAAAAACCTCTATTTCTTTTTATGATTACAAAGGTAGTAGACGCCCATCGTAGACGACCTGGAAAATACCAAAAATATAGAAAATCCACCCATAGTTCTTCCACCCACAGACAACATTAGGTATATTTCCTTCCAGTATTTATTGTATTTGTGTCTCTCTGGTCTAAACATTTTACAAATTTTGTTGTATAAATATTGCTGAGGTTATTAAGTATAGACTGCTTTGTTCCCACGTAGTTTTACGTATTTTATGTTACTTGTTTTCCAGTGATATTGAAAATTTTTTATAAACATAATTTTTGGTGGCTAAATAATATTCCCTTGTATGACTGCATCATGTTATTTCCTTCATTTTTCTATTGTTGTTCATTTGGGTTATTTTATTTTATTATTTTAAAATTGAGGTGTAGTTGACACTTGGGTTATTTCATATTGACATTAAAATTGAGTAAATCTTGTTATATGTAAATCTTTGTACTTCTAATTGTTTCCTGTAAACAGCTGAGAATTTAGTTTGAGGAAGCAAAATGTACAAAGTATACAGAAAAGCAGTCACTTAACAGTAAGCGCCCCCTTCTCATCTAATCGTTTTAAAAATAAAAAAACTTTCAGTTATCTTGGTGTAGTTCAATTACCTGTAATCTAAATATTTTCAAACCTGAAAGTACACACATGAGCTCTTCCTCCACGATCATTCCATCATAAGGACATCTAGCAACTTACCTCCTGTATATACTGTTCCAGCCAAAGAGCTACGAAACTTGGTACTTTTACCCATCTATTTGTAAAGATCAGTTCAGTTTTAAGCCAAATATAGGAGCATGAAACTAGGTAGCAGTGGGTCTGGGGTGCCCAGGAATCAGTGGTGAGGTTAGCTCGTTTGGGGTTATTCCTCACCTAAGAAAGAGTTACCTGACTCTATGGACTTCTTGGATTTTGAATTCAAACTAAGTTGGGTCTAAAAGTCCCATTCACCCAAGGCCTCCACGGGTCATTCTGAGGCCATTCTTGTATCAAGAGAGTCTCTAATAGAGCAGTCCCCAACTTTTTTGGCACCAGAGACTGGTTTCGTGGAAGACAATTCTTCCACGGAACAGAGGTGGGGGGGGGATGGTTTCGGGATGGTTCACGCGCATTCCGTTTATTCTGCACTTTTTTTCTATTATTATTACACTGTAATATACAATGAAATAATTATACAATTCACCATAACGCAGAATCAGTGGGAGCCCTGAGCTTGTTTTCCTGCAGCTAGACGGTCCCATCTGGGGGTGATGGGAGACAGTGACACCTGAATTATGTGGCTTATGTTCGGTCTACTCCATAAGATGCAGCTTAACTGTCACTTGCCACTCACTGATGGAGTTTTGCTATGAGTCTGCAAGCAATTGACTTATTGTAGTCTCTGTGTAGTCAAACCTCTTTGCTAATGATAATCTGTATTTGTAGCCGCTCCCCAGCGCTAGCGTCACTGTCTCAGCTCCACCTCAAATCATCAGGCATTAGATTCTCATAAGGAGTGCGCAACCTAGATCCCTTGCATGTGCAGTTCACAGTAGGGTTCGAGCTCCTTTGAGAATCTAATGCTGCCACTGATCTCACAGGAGGTGGAGCTCAGGTGGTAATGCGAGTGATGGGGAGTAGCTGTAAATACAGATGAAGCTTCTCTCGCTCACCTGCCACTCACCTCCTGCTGTGCGGTCCAGTTCCTAACAGGCCATGGACCACTCTCGGTTGGAGACCCCTGCTCTAATACATGGTATGTGGCAGCCAACCTCCAAAGATCCACACGTCCTGCTGCAGTGCGGTCCCCACACATAATGAATCAGTGCTGGTCCTATGTGACCAGTCCAATATGGCAGAAGTGACAGTGTATTACTCCTGAGGCCAGGACATAAAAGGTACTGCAGCTTCTGCCTTGTTCTTTTGGATCGTTCACTGTGGAGGGAGACAGCTGCCAAGCTGTGAGGACAGTGACATCCCGAAGAGAAGACGTGAAGTCCCCAGACAACAGTCTGCACCAGTTTGCCAGTCAAATACAGAGGATAAGCACCATTAAAATAGAACTATTTTATCATAATACGATCATTCTTTTTTTTTTTTTAAAGAAAAGTAACACAAATTCTTTGTAGAAAATTTACCACAAAGAGAACCAAATCATCTGGATAAAGCCTCCTATTCTCCCAGTATTTTTCCTTCTTTCGAGCTATGCTTGGTGCATTTGTATGACCATTTTAAATGCCAATGACATGATCATTTGAGTTTATTCTTAGTTGAGAAAGTTCAAAAGGACAGAAAAATTTCCAACTCAGAATTTTCCCCTCCACCCCCAACCCTGAATCCCTATGTAGGGCCTGGAGAATCAAAGAAAAACCTTGAAGTGTTATGAAGCAAGATCTATTTATAGATCTATCTATAGATTTATAGAACCCTCAATGGGAAGGTGAATCTCAGACAACAACAACAGCAATCATAGGTCCTCTTTCTGGAGCCTTACTACATGCCAGACACACATACTCAACACTTTACATTATCACATTAAATCCTATGTAAAGGGGTAGGTGCTTTTCATTATTGTCCCCATTTACAGATGAAGAAACTGAGGCTCAGTGAAGTCAAGTAACTTGCCCAGATCACACAGCTATTCGGGGGGAGGAGCCAGGATTTTATTCTCTGCTATTCTCATTCGACCATTCATACTCGTCTCCTTCACACCACACTTTCACCTGCAAAAGTGAGAAGCAGCTACTTTGTGCAATGTAACCGAAGCTGAAACGGAACAAGGCAGGAGGCTTTATTGGCAGAATGGTGATCTTATTATTAGCTTGATGGAGAAGGCGTAAGAGCAGGATATCACAGAGGTTAAGGGCACGGACTCTGAACTCAAGGTGGCCTGCAGTCACATCCCAGCCATGCCAGGTGACCTTGGGTGAATGACTTAATTTCTTCTTACCTTAGTTAGAAGTTTCTTCTTTTGTATGGTGTGGGAATAATAATAGTATCTACCTCAAAAACTGTTCTGAGAATTAAAAGATTTAATGCATGGAACATGCTTAGTCCAATGCTTGACACATTGTAAGTGTTCAATAAAAATGAGAGCTAACATTATTCAATGCTTATTATCAGTGGTGGCCACTGTAATTTTTAAGAGCAGTCAGTAGTTGGGAGCTTATAGTGCTGGGGTAATTCGTAAGGCAGAGCTGGGAAGAGATAGGTAACAGTGGGGCTTACAGGGCAGGCAGGGGAAGAGACAGGTCAGTGATGCGGTTGATGGAGTTATGCAATCAGATACTTAGCTTGGCCAAGAGCATGGAATCAGAGCAGACCCAGTGAGTTAGGATCGTGACTTCTGAATTCTGCAGCATCTTTGAGGGACACGGATTGTAGTGCTAGCAGAGGTTATTTCCCCCAAATAATCACGACCAATTGCCTGGTTTGGGTAAATATGGTTACCCAGACAATTAATTCAGTGCCATGCAGCTGGTAAGAGGAAACCCCCCAGAAAACCATATTCCCCACTGCCCATACCTGAGGCCGGCCAAGAACTCCATGACGGCATTGTAGTTGCCCATGTTCCAGCAGCATTTGGCCACGTGCACCAAATATGAGAAGACTTCCCGCTTCTCTTCCATGGAGCCCGCTGTGAGGATCAGCCACGTCACCCAGGAGCTCACCTGCAGAATGCAGAGGGACGTCCACTGAAACCACGCGCTGGACGCTTGATACATACTTTTCCATAAGAAAAATTTTTTTTTAAAAAAAGTCAGTTTAGTATTAGGAAATGAAGGACCCAGCCAAGAGACTGAATTGAAGCTCTAGCTCCGTCACTGCCTTGCGATGGAATTAACCTCTCTGTATTCTTCATCTTCATCTTTAAAATGAGGCTGAAAGGTAATTTATACAATCCCTTTTCAGCTATAAAATTCCATGAGACCATAAGAAAACGAGGCCTAAGGATAACTATGAGTTAAATGTATTTGACCGAAAGAGCAAGGATAAATGCAATCAATGCACTTAGCCCATAAATGAAAGTCCATTTGTCAAACAGTAAAATGCGTAATATTAAATGGAAAAATGCAAAAAAATTTTTTGGAACTGTCTTTCATAAAAACATTATCTATTATGCTCCTCAAATGACTAAATAATAGAACCAATATAACACTCCATGTATGTTAACTCATGTATTTCTCACAACAATCCTAAGAGTCAGGAACTATAACTATGTTCATTTTATAGATGACGAATGAAGGACAGAGGGCCTAAGAGACTTGCTCAAGGTCCTCAACCAATAGGTGGCAAAGCCTGAATTTGAATCGAGGTGTGTGGCCCAGAGGTGTCCCTATTAACCACTCACTAAATGCCTAATGTATATACTGTTCTCCTGCTCTAGGCTTAAATTTAGTCTAGTGAGATTTGTCTTTTCTACTACACAGACTGGAGTATAATATTTAATAATAATCTACTACTAAAGTCCCCCCTTTATTGTATGCAGCCTCAAAATCCTTTGCTTAATCGCTGAGATTATTTTGCTGCTACCTGTACTTTGGTGCTTGAACACTAGTGTTCACTTACGTTACTTTCTCCATCCTGGCTAAGGTCTGGGCTGATAAGCTCAGTTGTTAATAGATCAAAACCTTGGTCTTGACCCCACATGGCCCATTAGTTGTACTTGGTTTAGCAACAGTGCTGAAACCTGGGGAGCAACTCATTTCCCTGGCTTGAGCAAGAGTGAAGCCTGAACAGAGCAGCCTGCAGGGAAAAAAAGAGTTCAAGGGGCTTCCCTGGTGGCGCAGTGCTTGAGAGTCCGCCTGCCGATGCAGGAGACGCGGGGTCGTGCCCCG